TTTAGATTATGTTGATGAAGAAAAACTGTTTGCAAATAGTGATATATCTTCAAATCGTATTTGTGGCAGCTTCTTTAGAGTCCAGAAACAGCGTTAACTGCACACACCGGAACTAAAGACACACTGGATTGAGGGATGAATGAAAGGGTTTTAAGGCACTCCCCCTGCTGGCAACCCCATGCGTAGCATCATAAAACAATATGGAACGATACACTTTGAAAATATATCCAAATACATGAAAACAGAAATGAAAAATACTTCTACAAATAGATGGGCTGTCATTGGTCTTACAGTGTATTACAATAACATCATTGAATATTTATACATTGATATCTTGTATACTTAGTATCATGCACAGTTTTGTAATATAATAAAATTTGTAATTTGTTATAATATATATATTTTTTTAATTATTAATATTTGTCGGTCTCTTTAATTTGATCAGGTTTTGATCTGGGTTGGGCTTGTTTGGAGCGTTCCATTTTCAATGACAGTCCTATGCTGCCATCTAGTGGAGGGTTAGGAATATAGGATGAAACTCACTTGCACATTACAGCAGACAAAATAAACAAACAAAAAAATGGTAGGGGGGACAATCTTGGGACAGAGAATATGTTGAAGGGGCCTCACATACCCTCCATGTTTTGTCGGTGTGGCTCCTTCCCTTGACACAGCTGCCATTGACCTCCATTCATTTGAAGAATTGCTCACTCAAAACAACTCCAAAAAAGTGCTCTTTTGACCAAACTTGGTTATCTATGTCCCCTCCAACCCTCTGCAGGTGCCCACCATGTTTGGTGGGCTGAGCTAAAGACTCCCATTAATTTTTCTGCCTAGTCAGTCTGGCTAGGAATCTCCTACAGGTTTTAACTCTAACCTCAGTGACCTCTTACTTCAATTTAGCCAGATTTTATTAAATTTTTATTTGTTTTTGAACTCTGTTTTGGAAATAAATCACACTTCACTTTTAAAATGCCATCTCTGAGCCTCTGTTGGATGAAGGATTTGCTGCTCTGAAGACTGGACTTTGGTTTTAAGCATCTACTTTTTAACCATTTTATTTTATTTGATTTTTCTTCAAACTCAGTTTTTAAGACAGAAATCACAACTCAAATTAAAATCTCATCTCTGAGCTTCTGCTATGTGCCAAAAATGTCTGTAAATACTGTTCTGAACATCAGAAATGGCCTTTAAAATGTCTGTCAGCATTTCAACATTTCCCAGAATGCATTGCATTGTGGGGCTTCAAATTGTAGCTTGTAGTTCAACTGTTTTTGCTCCTAACCTTAACAAACCATATATACTGTTATGATCAGAATGAGCTCAGCTGTTGAACTGGATGACTTAGAATGAATTTTGAAACATGTTGAAAATCGGCACCATGACTCAGAATGGGGTACATTTTGTTGAACTGCTGCCTACTGATCACAGAGGACATGTACCCTTTTTGGATCACATTATACTGATCATTCTAGAGGTCTTGCGGTGTATGATGGCACTAGAATGACTCTTTACTTGTACTGGGGTGATCATTCCTTGCAGGCACCTGAAAG